AAAAAATGGAATAAAACTGAAAAGGTATGGTATTAACCGAATACTTCTTCCTTTGTCGATTGCCTCAATTTTCTTTCAAGAATGTTTCGTCTTTTGAAAAATTTAAGACAGGCAGGACGTTACGCCTAGAAGCTCAACTTTTCTACTGAGGAATACAAAGCCGGGCACCTTCTACATGACAAGAGCTTTATTGATTTTACTGATCTTTTTGAAAGCCTGAAATTAATCAGCCAGAATATTTAATTTTGGTTTTTCTCCGAAGTGTTGATTTTACGTGATAAACAGCAAGACATTTGTTCGTAACTTAGGTGCCGCGTTACGAAACAAGACATGATTTAACATAAACACAGGTCAAAATGCCCCCGAACTTATCAATGTCCACAGGTTTCGGTTTATTTCGAAATAGCAACTTTCTTACAGCTCATGAACGTGTTGAGAATAGTTATATTGGCGCTTTCATGTATATTCATTTGTTGTGCCTTTGCTGAAGACAGTTACCAGGAATCTAAAGCTGGTAATGAGAAACGCAAAGCCAGGTAAGCGGTAGTTATCGCGTGACAAAACATCGTAGGAAACCCTTCACATTCACGGACTAAAAGAAAATCGCTTATGATTATTCGTCGGATCCAGGAGGCACTTTGGAGAAAATTAAACAAACTAAAACCCTTTTTTAGCGGCAATGAAGAGCTGACTGCATTTCAAAAGAGGTCAAAGGAAATGCTCTTGCATCAAAGGGCAAATCATGCCTACCAGAAACAACAATAACCGCAGAAAATGCGTGTCATGACCTCTCAGTATGAAAAAGGCGGCAAACCGTTTTCTTTAGAGGTATAATCTACCCGCCAGAGCAGGAAAAAAGTCACTGCACTGTCATTGGAACAAGCAGCATTTTAGCATGAGGTAAAAGTCGTGTGTTGCCTACCGACTTCGTTTTTACACTTGAATGATTTTTTCATTTAGTCTTTATTCATATATCTATTTTAGAAGTAAAATTTAGCTTTTAATCTGACTTATTGTAATAATAATAAAATCGACACGATGATCCGCTAACTTCAGTCCAAGTCATTCCTACTTTTCTTTCGGGATCATTTGCGGTCGACTTTGGGGATCACTTGCGGTCGAGGATCATTTGCGGTCTCGGGATCATTTGCGGTTGGGGATCATTTGCGGTACTGTACAGATCACCATGCAGAAGTTTTAAGACAAGAGTTCTGCATTTCAAGGTTAAAAATACACCTTTAACAGACAAAAAATGGAAAGAGAAAGTTCAAAAGAATGCTCAGCTTTCTTTTTGTGGAGGAAGGGAAGCTTTTCATCAAGAAATCGTCCTTCGAGGAATTCAACCTTGTTTTCTTCACGACGGAGCGCATGGTCTCAGTTTTGAAATGCAACAAAGGCAGTGAAGTTTTTGCTGAATTTTCAGGTACATTTTGCACTCTATGGCCAAGACAATTACGTTTTTGAAAGGGAATTTATGTATTTTTAAATGTTTCATAGACGTTTTATAAATTTTTCTCTTCGGCGCTAAAGAAAAATTACAAAATCTGCCCCGATTTGAGATGGATTTTGTGTTGAATTTTGCCATGTGCTCAGTCGATTTCACTTGCGTTAACGGATCCACGATCCAGCTGTAGTGTTTCCTGAATTGCTTTAAAGGATTAACTTTTTGGATTTTAAATAAAAATTTTCAAGAAACAGCTTCCCTGTCTATTTGTTTTGACTTTGTTCATTCATGAAATTAGCTCAAAACACGATCGTGACCACATCCAAGCTGAATTTAAGCTTAAAGTGACAAGAATGAGTTAAATCCTTCTCACATTACTTACACGCATCACTTTTTGCGAAGATGTCAGGTTCAGGTTTTGGACACTTTTCTATACGCAGCTAATGAATTTTATTCGCAAATAGTTTTTACTGTTTATTCTAGACTAGTAATATAAGAATTGCAGTATAAGTATACTGTGCAGAGGGTCAACGAGGCATCGTTTTTTGAAGTGACAACTTCAAGAAGTTGCGAGGACGTCAATGGTTTCATAATGTTATGTTTGGCCCGGGTGGTAAGGCGATAATATCCTGCTCAGTACTTCGATAATATTCCTGGTTTCAACCGTTGAAAGCTTTCTCGGCTTTCGGGAGTTTTTCTCCCGTTTGTCGGCCATTTTTTTAAGCGGGCGCAGGAACGTAAAGTAAAATTACGTCACGTTTTTTACAAAGTTTGATTGGTCAGTTATCTCTTCTTCTCGTTCCAAATATGGTACTTTTCAAAATGAATAATCAGGAGCATCGGTCAAAGCAAACATTTGAGAGCTACACGTTTCAACCCCTTATGAGTTTCTGATTGCACTTAAACTTAATTAACTCTTGTTTGTTTATGCAAGATGATCGTTTATTTCACCATTGTTTGCCAAATGAATATCATGAGTACTGATAAAATCACCAAACCTTTTATTGTAAATACGAACTTGGTTTCCCTGTCGATTACAGGGCACAGGAAAAGGTAGTTAATTAATTAATGGACTCCAGCCTTTTGGATGCTTATTAATAATTTATTCTTAGTGGAAAACTGCAAAGGGTGACAGGCTGCACATCTATAACTTTAATGTTTTGGCTCTAACAAGCATGTCCTTTGCCATAATTTTGCTTTCTCAAAGAAATAACCCTTTAACCCTCGGACGTACAAGGGGTGGGGGGGGGGGATGCCACTTCCCCTTTAGGTTTTTCTGGGATTTTTCCAAGAGGATAAAACATCAGCACCTGAAGTTTTCAGTAGATGTTCGTTTATCCTTCGCACACATTTTCAGACAAGTTCAGTGATGGTAAGTTTCTATGGTTACGAGGTATGACGTAATAAGTAGCAGGTGGTCAAGCAATTTTGAGTGAAAATGTGTTTTTTTTTCAACTTTTTTCAACAATAAAAGAAAAATCTTTTAGCTAAAATCATGCAAAGTCATTATTTATGTGTTAGTATTCATGTCAAGCAATTACCATTTCTCATTGTTTTAACCTGATTTCTAATTCTTTGTAATATCCAAGATGGCGGCAAAGATGGCGACCATTGTTTGTGAAGTAAGAGGCCTCCAGCAACGCCACCATTCATGAAATATACCTCATCGTGTTAAGAAGATCAAAGGCTTTTCAGTGAAGGCAAAACCACTTCGAAATGCTGTAACATATCAAAAACTGTGGGTGGGGTTCCATCTACCATCATCTTGTACTATGGTGGGGGGTATGATTTTGCGTGTACGTCTGAGGGTTAAGTTGGCAAGGTAGTGGTTGGTTTTGTTTGAGATTACACTTGTTCATTAAAGCTTCTTTTATAATAGACACTAAGGGCTTGTATTATGTCACGAAAGGCAATATTTCTTTTTCTTCCTTGTTGTTTTGTTTCAGGAGCGCTGCTTTTCTTCTGTGAGTTTTACTTCTAATAGCAATTTTTCTTTCAAAATTTTGTGGCCAGCCTCCGTCCATCAACCGCTTTTTGAAATCTGAAATACTTCCTCAGAGGAGTTTGTTCGTAGGATACTCAAGGCTTCTTGTTTGTCCATTTTTCTCGTACCGAAACAAGAAACGTTCACCTTTTTCACCTTTGTCTTTTCAATAAAATTTATAAAGTCGGCAGCATCGTTAAGGTGTGGCTTCTGTGATTATGATATTAGTTGTAGTAATGTACCCGTATCAACAAAAGAAGCGAGGGAGTTCCTTCTGTTAGACCATCTGACGAGTCATAAATTTAAAGAGGTTACTTCCTAACGGCTAGAAAAAAATGCAAAATGCTCTTTTTTCTAAAACAAATATTGGAAATGTCAGCCCATGTCGGTAGTCGGTTAACATTTTCCTGTAGGTAGTCGATAATTTTTTACTCGTTTTTTCGGGGAGTCAGTAATATTTTTCGCACTTTGTCGCTAGTCGGTTAACCCCATTCAAACCCTCTTTCAAATGCCCAGTGCAAAACTTTCACATATATATGCTTTAACGTTGTCTATAGTTTTCATGTGTTTCCTTCCAGTTTTTCTAAAACTTTACGACCTATATTAACTAGTATTGACAAGCTAGGATTAAGAAGCTTCAAGCGGATGTAGTTTGTGTACAGACCCCACTCCCGTCACGGATTTTGAAAACGGCACAGGGGCAACCAACACGACAGTTTCCTCCTAAATGCATTGAAAAATCTTTTTAGCCTATCCAGAGTACTCTTGACTTTAAACTGTTAAATTGAATCTGACGTTTGCCGTTTCTTGTAAACGTGATTCTAAATGAGTTGTCATAATATCAATATTCATGCGATAAAATCAATGCTAAATAAACAATGCGCAATGCCTCATGGGAATGACAATAAGTTTGAATTTCTACTAAGCTGATGATGACTCACTTTATTCCTTTCGAATTCCTTTTCTTTCTTTATATCCGATCCAGATTTTTTAACAGTCCAACTAGCAGGGTACCTCGAACGAAGAAACTCCAGGGAATAGGATTTCCGGGGAATGAGATTACGTATTCGTAAGTTTACTTTCTACAATTACTTTCTACTATCTTTCCAAAATGTGACATCGCTATGGAACGTCTTTTTGAGAAACATTATGTAAGTCGTTAGTTTTTAGTTAGTATGACGGATGTAGAGCTACCATGTAGAAATACTGTCAATAAATCGTTATTATTATTATTTTATTATTATTATCCTGCAAGCTGTTGAACCGAAAAAAAAAACAAGAACTTACAATTGCTTTTATAACTCCCTCATGGGTAGCCATAGCCTGCTCACAGACCCTCTATTATCACTTCAAAGTCCGTCTGGGTCGCGAACCACCTTAATGAGTATTTTATTTTGCACAGATCTCTCTTGGAAAGGGCAGAAAATCTACTGAAAAGCAAGCGATAACATGTCAGTGAATACAGCGGAACGGACCTTCGTGGAAACATACACACTAAATGGGAATTACCATTTATGTCATTTATCTATTCAGCAATCAGAAGAGCCTCTAGGACTCTCAGACATCTTTGTGATGAGACATACGAGAGACGAATCTCTGTTACGAGAATTATCATCTAGGTGCAGAGAAGGAGCTTCAGTTCACACTGCCTTACCAAGGAGTTACCAGGTTATTATTTTTTCCCATCCTCACAAAACTAGACTTGATTAAAGATTTACGGTTTCTGTATGTCATAAGATTTAGCCGGATTGTTTAGTTTGTTTGAAATCCACACAGTGTTTCTCATAGTCTGTTACGTAACTTAATACCCTAAGGGTGAAACCTGGAGTCGGCAAGTTCTGACAAATGGAAACCCTCAGAGTAAATGCCCGCAGCTCTCCCTTGCTTCTTGTAAACAGGGTAAACTTTGCAACGATTTAGTCCACATTATCTTGTCTCAGCGCTTGTAATACATTGATTCTTGGGCCACTCGAATAAGAAAAAAACTTACGAATGGAAAGCTAAAAGGTATTAAATCATAAATAGATAATTAAGGACTGGTGGTCTACCGCCCCTCTTCTCTAACCCCGAACCAAAGTTTTGAACCGTGCCGCTCTGAATGAAATCATCGATCTTGCCTGCTTCCTTCAAGGAAAGCTAATTGTTGTTATTACTGTTTTGTAGTCTCAGTATTCTACGCCACAAGTAACGGAACAGCAAGCGATTGATTCTTTACAGGATCGTACACTGACTTCAGATCGGCTATTGACAACGTAAGTACGAAACCAAGAAGAATTTTTCATCCTTCTTTTAGCGCGCTTGATTGGTCCACCGTACGTCTTCCAACACGGCCAAGATCAGTCAACCAAACTTTGAGTGCGGTCTTCGTATATATTATGCTTGCTTTGCTTTGAAACTGTCCTCAGTCTTTTCCACAATTTCTTTTTTCTCATTGTTTTAACGTCAAATATTAGTCTGATTTTCAATTTTATTAAAACAGTGCCTTAAATTCAAATCCTTACTTACCAAAAATCCGTAGATCCGTCCATGAATAATTAGGGAGTTAAAGCAACGACGACGGCGACGGCAACGGTGACGAGAACGTTTTTTTTTGGTACTGTACATTTCTTCCGCCGTTACTACACGACTACGACGTGAAAATGCCTAATTTCACGTTTTATGGAGGACGTAAACAAGCGACCATGAAACTTTCTTCTCTTTCTAAACTTAAGTCAGGTCCCCAAGAAATCAACTCCAGGGAAATTTGCCTACATTAGATATTTTCAGCGAACTAAAATAAACGCGACAAAGTTTGAAAAAAACGCCAATTCATTTTAAAAGTGACTTTTTTGCTGCCGTCGCCGTTGTCGATGCTAAAAGTCCCTTATGATATTCCCCCCTGATATCTACATACATCAGAGACCATGAGGGATGTGTTTTGTTTTGTACTTAGCTCTCCGCTATCAGTAATTTGTTCTCACAAGTTGTTTCTATATTGATTGAATTTTCAAAATCGTTGGGTATGAACATTCTTACTGTGGCCACGGCTGGAAGAAGAGATTTCGTCTCTGATACAAAACAGGCAGGTTTTATTATTTAGGGGAGGGGTGGGGTGGTATTAACGGACAGTCATTTCTTGTATCATCGCAGGCTATCGAAGGATAGCATTTAACCCCCAAGCTCCTCCCGTCAAAATCAAGTTGCTTTTATAATTGCCTTTTCCTAGATGTTGTGAGGAACTGATTCTTTTCCGTTGCTTTTACCTTTTAAGATTAAGCAGGGACCGCCTTTCAAGTCCTCCACAAGAAAGACATGCAAATTACGACCTCTACAGAAGGCTTCAAGGTCAGAGTTTGTCATCTCATCTCGGAAATTCTGATGGTGGTCTCAGAGCTGATTTCGTAGCGAGGCATACAACTGACCTTGCACTCCGGAGGGATCTGTCTCCTAACTTCAATACAGCTCCGAATCCAACAGAGGTCAGTAGAATTAGAATAAATTAGTAGTTGAATCAATGGCAACAGATCTTCGAAGCTGCCTCCGTAGAGCTGTGTCGTGCTGTGGCCATGGAATTAGGTCTCAATCATCCCGAACAGAAAAGAAACTGCATATAATTAGCGAGCAAGTTGATTTACCAACACCAGTCTTGTTATTGGGCTGAGCTGCTGCTAGTGAGGGCAACGCCCAATTAAGAATTACCTTCCACCTATGTAGGACGGAACTCCCATAAGGGATTTGCGTGTCCCATTCTCCCTTCAACGGGGCCGAGTTTTGTGGGAAGGGGACCGGTCATTTTAGGTGCACGTGGTCTGACAAACAAGCTTGGAAGTCGATTTGGAGCGAACACGAAAGTAGTATGTGGAGTTATTGGCCCTAAATCTACGCCCTATGATTATCTATTAGTAAATGCAATATTCTATAAGGCAGTTAGCCTGTGAGGGAGCTGCAGAAACAAAAGCCTGTGGAACTCTTCCCTTAAGGAATATTCTCTTTGTAGATCGCCCGTCAAAGTTTCTTTTTCTTTTTCTAAACTCAGATACGGTCCTTTCGGATTCAGTCCAGAAATTCTCGCCAGCATTTGACAAACTAAATGAAATTGAATAAGATCGATGAAGTTTGAAACAGTGCAGATTCCTGGTTTTGTCAATGGAACTTGGATTCTTGATTCCGATCGTAAATAGGATTCCAAATTCCTTGAACTGTATTTCGGATCAAAGCCCAGGATTCTAGACTTTACAAGCAAAGAATGATTTTCCCGGATTCCAAAGTCTGGATTCTGTTATGTGGGGCGGCGATGAAGGTCGTGTCGTAAGAACTCTTACTCGAAAACGCTATAGATCCTTGTTAGGCTTTGGGAGGAAATAAATGATGAATTTGTGCTTTGGACAGAATGAAGTAGTTGTGAAGGCCAATTTTTCGTGGCCTTGAATTTTGTCGGAGGAAACTTAAAGGTACGTTATTTTTGTTCTTTGTTTAGAATAACAGGCGCAATCAACAACTCACAGAACTCACAGGACCAAGGCGTTCAACGTAAGTAAAAAAACTTAATCGTTATATTGTAGACAATTTTTCTCATGAGGTTTGTTCTACCTGCTTCGTCTAGGGCGCGTTTAGTTTGCTGCTGAGATGTTCTCGAATAAATTTTGAAGACAGATCATATTTTCTATAAGTGAGGAAAAGAAGAGTTTCTTTACCGATCAACTAATCCAAATCCAAGAAATAAAATGTTACCATTTTAGTCATTAATTTCTCCTAGATAGTGAGATGCGACTCTTCTAAGAACTCATATCTTGTTTGCAAGGCTAGTCAAACACACATGCAAATTTTTTAGTTTATAAAGGTTTAGTGGTGACATTCCCTCTGTATACTTATCGGGATATTCAGTCCAGCTCATTAAACTCTGAGTACAGGAGGAGATGGGAAAATACAGCCTCCATTTTGCCGCAGATGCTTGTACGTACCCAGACGCAGACGCAGACGCAGACGCAATGTAGGTTTTCTCCGCCCCTGATCGAGACCAGAAACCAGGCTCTGTTGTTCAGATGGCAGATAATGCTATTCACTGGATAAACCTCTATCCACTGGACAGTGCAGTTGGTTTTCCTAACCATCCTCTGGATAGTGATTTATCCGGTTTCGAGCGGTTGCCGTGGCCGGTTAATAGCGCTATCCAGCTTTTGCCGAATAACTGGGGCCAGAGATCGGTTTGGGATCGTTCACATGTAAATTCTGAGTAGAGACAAATTATTTTGTAACAGCTAGTATTTCCTTTTCCTTTCCAGATTCATCTGTTTACGTTGCGGCCGAACTCCTGCATTATAGCGTCACGTGATGATGGTGTTCTTTGCTCTGTGTCTTGAGAGAGAATGGTTTCCTACTCGTCTTGCTCAAGAGACAATTCATTCAAAGCTGTCTAGCTATTCTGTTCCTTTACAAAGTGAAGGTCAAGCAAAAGTCAAGGAACACTGTCCCCTTCATTTTGGAAGCAGAATGTGCCAATATTAAAACGGTTTCGAAAAGAAATGTGCGATATTCAACGCCGTAACCTTCCCCCCTTTTTAAGTTCGATATGAATGGTATATTAGTGAATATTTTCCATTTTTTACAGTTTTAATATTAAGAAATTACCTAGTAGTTTGTAAATATTATAGTGTTCTAAATCAATCACAGTGTACATGTTACAGGTCAAATTTGATTTCAGGTTAATTTTGGTTTAACCTAGGTTGATTCTCAATTTCCTTTGTTTCCTCGCCCTAATTCGTGAATAAGCAGGGCTAGGACACAAAAGTAATTGAGAATCAACCTAGGCCAAAAACATTTTGACCTGAAATCAAATTTGACCTGTAACATATATAACCCTAGAATTCACTCTTCCGGTTTTCAGTGCTTTTCGTCGCTGGGGACGCGCGTTTCGCGATCGGCCACAGAGACGAGCGAGGAGCATTGAGAGGCTGCTATATTTGCAGAGTAAAAGTAGTAAAAAAAAATCTCAGTTTGTAAAAAATTCATAGCAAAATTAAAGGGAACAGCCGTATTTTTACAGATTTTGTCTGTTTTCGTGAAAAAAGAGACTAAAGGGGACTAAAGGGCCCTAACCTAGTCTCCCTGTGCCACCTATTTCCTTTTTCTCTCTTGCCCTACTTTCTCAGCTCACTCGCCACTCCTGCGGAAACGTACCACTGGGAAATTGTACGCCCAGCCCCAACCGATATCTTTATTGAGGCGTCTATCCTCATCCTAATCCCTATCTCAACCCCATCTCGAGCTCCTAAAAAGAACCTGGCACTATTAGCTGCATTTGGGTTCAAAGTAACCTTTTCCAGTTTCTCACCAGTTTAGTCCCGGTTTGAATCCCGCTTTATTTCCGATTCGTGTTCGCGCTTTCTCAATTCCCGCGGACTCTTGCCTTATCCGTATACAGAGTTTTCCACAACCTCGTCCCCAGGGTGCTTTTCCTTGGCTTTGGAGGTAAAACGGGAAAACCCACACCCTGTTGGTCAATCCACTTTGATGACCCGAAACGCTTTGGCCGCGCGGAATAATGAGGCCTAGGGACTAGGCAACGCGGGCCCGACTATCTCGGAGCCTGCAAGAGGCTAGGTTCAATGAGGCTCATGGGAGCGATGACATGGCATGCCTATGTGCAGTTGAATCCTTGTCCTCCTGTCGAAAGCAAAATGCCGGATTATTTATAGAAAAATATCAAAGGAAAATTAAAGAAGATGATAAAAAAGACGATAAACCAATCCAAGGTATGATCAATACCATCATAAGAATTTTAAATTATGTTGCAACTTTTTTGCAACTCGTTTACAGCATCTTTCTCAGTGTGATACACATATTGAAACAAGCACACGTTCTTTTTAAGCTTAACCCTTGGACGTACGAGGGGGACCGTGGTGGTTGCCAACCCCTTTTCTGATGGGTTTTTGAGTTTTTTGCTATACGATAAAATGTGATGGTCAGTTTCCATGGTTACGCGATTTGACGTCATAAGTAGCAGGTGGTCAAGCCAATTTTTTGGTTTTGCTCAAACCCTGCGTGGATGCAAATTCTTTTTTCTACATGTACATGAATAGAAAAATAAATAAACGACTAAATAAACATAAGCAAGTAAATAACTAAATAACAAAAGTATTTCTTTTTCCTTAACTTAAAAAGCATGTAAGACCGAGCAACCTTGTGTGATGATTTGAACAAATAATTCATATAGTAATAACCAACAATAATTTCTTGACGTGCTGCGCCTTTAATCTTGCAATTTCTCTTCTGCCTAACCTGCCAGTGTTTCATAGAAAACTGCCAGTGTTTGATTACGAATTTCTAGTCATCTATTAACCCATTCTAAACACGTACTCGGATCTTCATTCCCTGAGTCACTTATAAGAACTTATATAAGAAAAGTTGGTCTAAATTATACTTTCCTTACTTATTTCAAACGTAGTAACACACACTACAGTACTCAAACTTAACTATGATTTGAACCAAAAGTAACTAAATATAACGACAAAGTATCAGTGCTGCACAATCAGTGTTGCTTAGGTTTACCCGTCCAGTTCATTGTCTATAATACTCACTCTATATAACAAAGATAATACAGCTTCTTTATGTTTTATATGGTCGATAGCTTTCTGCGTAGGAATAAGGACCGGTTTTATCATAACGGTCACCTTGACTACGGGATAGGTGCAGGGGAAACCCCTTTTCCTAAAATACGTCTCGCGATTGAGCAAAGAGTCTCATACGGCCGAACTGCATGCATGACTGATCTGATATTAGAAACTATAAGATATGGAATCTTCAGTGAGTTTAGCAATCAGCAACAAGAAGTCATTTAATAGCCGCTGCATCAGCCCCGACTGAGCTGAATAGAGCCCTGTTAACAAGAGAGCGACAAGCAAGACTTCGGCGAGCCACCTCGAGGATCGCGTCTGCTTGTAACAAACTGTCAAACGCACTACTTTACTACATTGAAAGGTTAGTGGATTCTTCTGAGTTCACGGCTAATTTTTTCAAGTTTATACTCATAATTACTGTCGATCATTCTAATGAGTCTTTTTTATCTGATAGAGTATTGAGATTGACTTAATTTCAGATTTATATGAGAAACATTTTCCCCTCCTTAAAGTTTGGTTTTTGGTTTTTGTAGCTGAGAGCGCAGACTTGGCATGGGTGGGCTCCTGGCGGATTCATGAAAAAAGTTCCTGCAATCTATGATATTTTGGGTATTCGGATTAGCTAATTTAATTTCTAAAAATTTGAGGCTGTTACAAGGATATACATGCAGGACACAATCTATGTGAGTGTTAGGTGGCGAATTATGTTTGGCGTTTTATTTGATTCCGGGATTTCCGTTCTTTGAAGCTCGGGACTCGGGAGAGCGAGATTCGGGATTGAAAGTATGCGGGGGAGATGCCAAAAATAACCCTTGGAATTACAGTATCCGTGGGTTTATAGGTCGGGATATACGGGGACTAATTGGGGACTCACTAATTTCGCATTTGAAATTATTGACAATGCAGTAGAGCCTCGGTAACTAACTCGAACTATCAAAGTCCCATTTCCCTGGGATTTTACTCGGTTACTTAGCGTGAACTCGGACCTTGATCAAAAAACTTTACCCCGATAACTCGAATTATGGTTTTTGCAACGTATTAGGGTCTTATGAGTCATACCCAATCATCAGAATAATAATGCATAATCGACCGACCCGATAACTCGAACCCGTTAACTTGAGTTCGGGTCACCGAGGTTCTCTTGTATATATGGCCTCTATTATTACTATAAGAAATACCGTAAACTGCCGCTTATAAGCTCTCCCACCCCCCTTGCCCCCTAAGTTATAGCACGTCCACCTGTAAACCATAAAATATATCCGACCAAGATAATCGAGATACTCCGTGGGTATCCTTCTCTGCTGATCCGATCGATTATAAGCTCCCCGGGAATTACAAGTGCCCCTCAAAATGCACATGTATTGAAATGAAGTTGATTTATTATATGACGTTTTGAAGCGTAACTAAAACTAGTAAATGCAAATTGAAGACGTATAACTTTGATCAGCACTGCTTCAGCTCGGTTTCGAAGCGCTTTTTCTATTCCAGTTATAAGCCCCTCGGAAATAAAGCTCCCAGTTTACAAGAGCTATAAAACCTATAAGGAGTAGGAAGGCCAAACGTCAAACTTTTCATGAGAGGAACAATACTTAGTGTGTTAAGTTTGTAAAAAGTTCGACGTCTGGCTCAGTTAGGTTCGTCTGAATGAGTTTGGATCGCCCAAAACGTTCTTTCTGTCTACTTCAGACGGATAGAAAGTCTGAAGATGGTTTCCGCGACAAACGTCGATCTTAACAGGCGACAAACTTAATTAAGTCTCTTGAGTCAAACTAATAAATTATTTTAATATATTTTGATCTGATTCAGTTGATTGCTCGACGTCTGACCCAACAGAGGCTAGGCCATAAGCCCAGGGCTTTGTTATCTCAGTATTTATTTCTGGAAGGATGAAGGGCATACGATTCCTCTGTGTAGGACC